GACAAAATGGCCGCTGTCCGTTCTCAAATAGCGTAAAAATATGGTATATCAAGGTTGTGGACCCTATAGAGGTCACAATTTTTATCCGATTTTGTTGAAACTTGAAATGTAAGTTTATAACCCAAAGATCTCGGTTCCTTTCGATATTCGTGCATATCGGACTGTAGCTTCCTGAATTATGGCCCCTGATTGTACGAAAAATCGCGCTTTTAGCTTGTGGACCCATTAGAGGTCATAATTTTTATCCGATTTAACAAAAAGTATTATTATATTACCGTTACACCCTAGGGACGGATGAGTTCGAGTTTCGTGAAAATCGACCCAAAACTGACAAACAAGATGGCCGCCCTTCGTTCTCAAATAGCGTAAAAATATGGTATATCAAGGTTGTGGATCCTATGGAGGTCACAATTTTTATCCGATTTTGTTGAAACTTGAAATGTAAGCTTATAACACAAAGATCTCGGTCCTTTCGATATTTGCGCATATCGAATTGTAATTTCGTGAATTATGACCCTTGATTGTAGGAAAAATCACTTTCTTGTTAGCTTGTTCTCTATCCATCTCTCGAAAATGTGGGCGTAATCTGCCTGGCAGCCGCTGGTTGGAATTGATGTTTGCATCCATTGTAAAAGATTTTAATTGTTTTGTTATGCCGGTATGCTTTAGTCTGTAATAATGCCAAATAAAACAAATAATGTCAAAGTGCCTCTCAGCAAAGGTTTAATCTATGTAAAGATTATGATGTTTTGTCATGCAATGTCAGACGTTTGTTCTTCTAATTAAGCATTCCATACAACATTGATGGATATTGTAACATTAATTAATATATATATGATCTTCAACTAAACATATCATTCAGCTTGAATACATACAAATTCATCAAAATTATACAACATTGAAATAAAGAAACTATAAATAATGAAGCTGACGCCACCGCTAGTTCAATATATTTTCCTTGGTCTAATGTTGCTGTGCTTTGCTAATATTGGTCTGAAAATGGTTTAGCTAATATTGATCTGAAAATAGTTTAGAAATTAACACTAGTCAATGAATTATGTTGACATTAGTCCAGTCTGTGTTGGATGACTAAACAACCCAAAAACTAACAAATATTCAGGAAATATTCTAATCGGGTTTCTTTTGTTTGTCCTGCCTGATTAAAACCATAAAACGTTTATGTTTGTTTTCAGCTACATGTGCACTATCTGTTGAAATATTTTAAAGTCTCAATGCGACAGAAGGCCAATAATCATTTACCTTATTTAAATTTAACAAAAGATAAGGGCTAAAAAATATTCTTAAAGTTTAGTTAGAAATTTAGATGATTTAAATAAAAACCTAGGTACCACTGTGAGTTTAATAAATTATTCTTATAGCACTCATTAACAATAAAGATGGCAGTCTGAAATCAGTAGAAACTAATGTGAACTTTAGGATTGATAAATTTTGGACAAATATTTTGGTGCGATTACTTTTTATTATGTATGGTCTGAAAGTCTGTCGTTTTGTCTGAATATTGTAACTTTTAAGAACTGTGTAGAAGTATTTGTATAGTTGAAAAGACAGCTCATGGACATAAATTCCATGTAAGTTGGATCCAAAGATGAACACAAATTAGAATTAATATTCTGAAGATGTATAGCAAACATGTCTTGTATGTTTTGGCGGAGACTGGGTGAAACAAGTTTGAGTTGAATAGTAGAACTCTTAATCATTAGTCTTTCATCAAGAATTGCATGTGCAATTTATGTGAATTGAAATTGTTTGTCAAGAATAAATATTTAAATAGTTAAGTTTGAGATTTGTTGTGTACTGTGTATGATAAAGGTTCAATTCAACACTAAGACATGGTAAATCTGATGTTGTGTTCATACAAACATTAGTCATTTAAAATAATCAATGTAGATAATTAAATAAGTTGTAAAAGTAGAATTAACAATAGAAAGTAACCGTTCTTACTGGTACTACCATCCAATTAACACAATACTACATTATCTATATTATTGTAAATAGTTAGGAATAAAGTAATGTCATAGGGTTTGTATTTTCACTATATATAACAAAACCTAGAAAACTAATAATCATTTTCATTCAACTTTATATTCCTACTTTATGATACAGTCAAATATATTTTTATATCACACCACTGCTATGGGGTGCCTTTTGTAAAATAATTATTTAATTTTTTTTATAGCAAAAAACATTAGATTTAACTCCGAATACGATATATATATTTAGATAAATATTAGAACAAAAATGGCATATATGTAAATATCAAAAAATATTGTAGCTAAAAGTCGAGTTTTTGGTCTATGAAAAACTTTAAATGTTATATCTTGATTTCACATCGCTTAGTTAAATATATAGCTAAACGTGCTGTTTTTCGTAGGTATAAATGCTAAATACTTAATCACTGAAAAATCTAGGGGGGTTGGATGGCTGAATGGTTAGCGTGCGCGCGCTGTATCATAAAGTCTGTCATTGAGTCGACTGGCGTGGTTTCGAATCCCCGGTTGTACGTGACGAGGAGTAGGGTCGCCTGTCCAACCTCGTGGGTTTTCTCTGGGTCCTTCGGTTTCCTCCCACTGCTAAAGACCCCTATGCGCAAGCGAATTATTGAAATAAAATTAAACCGCATGTTAGTCCCGAAATGACCTTGTTTGTGTCGAGTGGACGTTAAACCCCATTTCTCTCTCTCTCTCTGAAAAATCTAAAGTTAAATATTTAGCTAAATATATAAACATTTAGCTAAATATATAAACATTTAGCTAAATATATAAACATTTAGCTAAATATATAATTATTTAGTTAAATATATAATATTTAGCTAAATATATATTATTTAGCTAAATATATAAATGTTTAACTAAATATTTTAACATTTAACTAAATATATATTTAGCTAATTGTTTAAACATTTAACTAAATATTTAGCTAAATATTTATATATCATCAAATCTCTTGTTTTGGTCTTAATATTCAATGCTAAATGTTAAATATGAAAATAGAGACAAATCAAGAAATATTTATATATATTATGTTAAATATTGAGTTTTTGTATTATTTTTAGTTTAAATATTAAAAGTGAAAAATTTGCACAAAAGTTGAGATTTAACTATATATATAAATTTAAATTAAATCTAGTGTTTTTTGCTATATAAAAAGCTAAATAATTAATTTACAAACGGCGCCCCATAAATATATAGCTAAATGTGCTGTTTTTCGTAGGTATAAATTATAAATGCTAAATACAAAATCACTGAAAAATCTAAAGTTAAATATTTAGCTAAATATATAAACATTTAGCTAAATATATAAACATTTAGCTAAATATATAAACATTTAGCTAAATATATAAACATTTAGCTAAATATATAAACATTTAGCTAAATATATAAACATTTAGCTAAATATATAAACATTTAGCTAAATATATAAACATTTAGCTAAATATATAAACATTTAGCTAAATATATGTATATAAACATTTAGCTAAATATATAAACATTTAGCTAAATATATGAACATTTAGCTAAATATATGAACATTTAGCTAAATATATATATTTAGTTAAATATATAAACATTTAACTAAATATATAAATGTTTAACTAAATATATAAATGTTTAACTAAATATTTTAACATTTAACTAAATATATATTTAGCTAAATGTTTAAACATTTAACTAAATATTTAGCTAAATATTTATATATCATCAAATCTCTTGTAATATTCAATGCTAAATGTTAAATATGAAAATAGAGACAAATCAAGAAATATTTATATATATTATGTTAAATATTGAGTTTTTGTTGTATATTTAGTTTAAATATTAAAAGTGAAAAATTTGCACAAAAGTCGAGATTTAACTATATATATAAATTTAAATTAAATCTAGTGTTTTTTGCTATATAAAAACCTAAATAATTAATTTACAAACGGCGCCCCATACACTGCTGTCATTGTCAATTAACTCACAATTTGATTTCTACCTTTGTCAATTAACTCACAATTTAATTGCTACCATTGTCAATTAACTCATAAATTGATTGCTACCATTGTCAGTTAACTCAAAATTTAATTGTAGAAGAATACTAGAAAATAGTAATCCACTTCCAACATTTCTAATTCTATGTAGTTTATACATTTATCAAGTTATTGAAAGATGGAGTTTGTTGATTTGTAGGGAACATAAATCATTTATAATAACATTTTTTCTGTAAATATCAACATGGATCAAGAAATTAGAAGCTACATGCATTAAGGAAGTTTTCCTTTTGAATATTATTTGAGGAAATGATAGTTATTTTTCAAGGAAAGACAGTTGGCTGTAAGATTATTAACTTATGTATATAGAGTAATATGTATTAAATCTTTCCTGAATATTCTCTTTATGTTGTAGACATGGTTTTACCTCTCAGTATGAATATCGGTATTTAAGCTTAGTTTTATAAAGATAGATTTTTCAGGTTTTTTACCACATTAGACATATTGGACCATTTTATACTAAATGATGAACAGTTTATGGCCATCTGTATTTTAGACTAAACGATGCACAGTTTATAGGACAAATTAGTAAACTTCCATCTGAATTTACTTTTATACAAAAATAAAAATGAAACATTCTGATCTATTCATAAACCTCAAAAAATATTTTGACATCTCATTTTATATACAGGGGGTGTCGAATGGTTTATCATGTGGTTTCAATTCCCTGCTTGTACATGGATATTAATTTTTTGATGAAAAATAATTATTTGATTGTGGATATTAATTTGTTGTAAAAACATCTGATACCATTTCTTGTATATCTGACATGTTGTTAGAGTGAAACTAAAACATGGATACTTACTGAAAGTGGAATCGTAGGTATTGGCACAGGGAAATACTTGACACCAAAATTTGACCTTTATTATGTGTGCAATGTGCATGAATCAAACATATATTGATTATGATGTATTATTGTATATTCATGTTTAATTTGATATATTTTCAGTGAATATGCTCCAAGAACAGTTTTATTACAACGAAGGCCAGAAGGTTATGGATTTGTGTTACGTGGAGCTCGATGTAAGTTTAAACTTCTTTAAACAAACTAAAAAAAAATCAAGTTTAATCAAACATTATCAAATCTCTGCCATCTTTTTTTTTCTCTCAGGAACTTTAACTAGCAATGAGTTTAAAATCAATAAGTTGAATTTAGAATTGAAACTAGGAATTATATTGTGAACTAGTTGGTGTAGAATGCCTGGATATGATGAGAATGATTTGAATGATTGTTATGGACAACAGTTACAATCTCAATCGCTTGTGTAGAAGTTGACATATTAATGCCACTTTTACCGTCATTGACCCAGGTCGTGTAGCTGTACATGGTATGAAGCAAGAGTTTGTTAGTTTCAAAGTTTATTTGTTCACCCACGGCACAGTTCGGAAGTTCAAGCCCACAATGACTGCCTATGACATTGACTGTATCCGTATAGCCAATGTGATGTGTAGAAAGTAAAAAAAAAAAAAAAAAACATGTCTGTCAATTTTGGTCTAGAAACGTTAAAGTATAATTTTAAATTTATGCTAAGTTCCCTCTCAACCATATCCTCGTATGGAAAAGCAGCACTTTTTAAGATGGATGATTGTAAATCATCATCAGATCACGACAACACATGAGAATTTTGTTTTCATAATCACGTAAATGTACCAAGAGATCAACACAAAAATTTGAGTTTGACAGAATTGAAATGTTGTAAATCATGATTTTTATGAGTATAAAATTTGGCTTTTGAAAAACCAGCAACAATATGACTCCTACAATTCTGTTGAAAACACAGCAATATGCCAAGGTTGATACTTGTACCCTAAGAACGTGCCATTGCGTTAATTCAAGAGGGTATTGTTATATTATGTATCAAATGATATTTATTAACATAAACAATAGAATAATATAAATATGTGAGTTTATCTCCACCATTGTTATTAAAGGGGGAGTCCCAAGTGGAGTGATGACTGTTAAAATCTCCACATTACAATATCTTTAGTTTTTTTTTTATTATATATTACTTGATACACTTCTAACTTCCTCAATGATTTTACACGGATGATCTTTCTGCCAAAATGTTTTGGGTCCTTCTGCTTTGGACCTAATTTTGTTTCCTGTATGCATATTAGATTTGATAACAAGGTGGTTCAATTCTGTCCTACGTGGTCTGAGACCATTAGTATTTATTTGCACTATGTTTAACTTATTGAATATACCAATGTAAGTTATTAGATTGATTGGATTATTTTGATTGGAGAGGTTTAATTCTTATTAATGAGCCAGTTAGAGAATTTGTTAGCATTTGTCATTGTGTTATTTGCAGGCAGTTCTTTTACCTTAGGTAAAAAAAATCACACCTAATTCTATGTAGCCATCTTCAAAGAGATTATCAAAGAGTATTTTAATTGGATAGGATGATTAGGTGAAAAAATGTTTAGATGATTATGTATGGGGGGAATTGTTATTTTTGTCGAATGATTGTTATTTTTATACGCTCACATTGAAATATGGTCATATATTGTCGTCGCCCCCTCCGTCCACCTGTGCGACGTCCACAATTGCTTGTGGACGCCCTAGAGGCTAAAATTAATATCCGATTGACTTTAAATTTATACACAGTGTTTAAGGTTATGAGACGAAGAAGCCTATTAATTTTCAGCGATTTCCGATAATTACTCTCAGAGTTATTGCCCTTGATCACTTTGAAATATCTTGTGGACGTTCTAGAGGCTAAAGTTAATATCCGATTGACTTCAGATCACTTTGAAAAATCTTGTGGATGCTCTAGAGACCAAAGTTATCATCCGATTGACTTTAGATTGATAAACAGCGTTTAATGTCTTGAGACGAACAAGTATATTGATTTTCAATGAATTTTGATAACTTGAACAGCTAAATCCATGATAGAAATGTGGACGTATATTGCCGTTCGTCGGTCCCTCCGTCCGTCCATCGTCCACAATTTCTTGTGAACACTCTAACGCCAAAAGTTATCATCCAATTGTTTTAATGTGTTGTTAACATTAGTGAGATGAAGAAGCCTCTTTAATTTCAATAATTTCCGTTTATAACGTCTAGAGTTGTGGCCCTTGTTTCACTTTGTTGAACCATTTGAAGGCTCTAATGCCAAAAGTTAACATCCGATCTTTGTGAAATTTATATGCAATATTTGAATTATGGAAATGAAGAAGCCTAATGAATTTCAGCAATTTCGATTTATTACTTCTCGAGTTATGTCCCTTGTTTCACTTTGTTTAACCTTGTGAATGCTCTAAACCCAAAAAGTTATCATCCTATCTTTCTGAAATTTTTATGCATTTTTTAAATTAGTGAAACAAAGAAGCCTATTTAATTGGACTAATTTCCGTTTATAACGTCTAGAGTTATGGCCCTTGTTTCACTTTGTTGAACCTTGTGAATGCTCTAATGCCAAAAGTTAACATCCGATCTTTGTAAAATTTATATGCAATATTTAAATTAGGGAAACGAAGAAGCTTATTGAATTTCAGCAATTTCCGTTTAGTACTTCTAGAGTTATGGCCCTTGTTTCACTTTGCTTAACCTTGTGAACGCTCTAACACGAGAAGTTATCATCCTATCTTTCTGAAATTGATATGCATTATTTAAATTAGTGAAACAAAGAAGCCTATTGAATTTCAGCAATTTCTGTGTATTACGTCTAGAGTTATGGCCCTTATTTCACTTTGTTGAACCTTGTGAACGCTCTAACGCAAAAGTTATCACCCGATCTTTTTGAAATTTATATGCATTATTTAAATAAGTGAAACGAAGAAGTTTATTAAATTTCAGCAATTTCTGTTCATTATGTCTAGAGTCATGGCCCTTGTTTCACTTTATTGAATGCTCTAACATCAAAAGTTATCTGCCGATCTGTATGAAATTTACATGCGCCATTTTAATTTGGAAAGAGAAGAATCCTATTGAATTTCTGTTTATTACTTCTAGAGTTATTGCCCTTGTTTTACTTTGTTTAACCTTGTTAATGCTCGATTAATGAAAGTTGTCATCCGATATGTATGAAATTTATATGCATCATTTAAATTTGTGAAACGAAAAAGCCTGTCAAATTTCAACAATTTCTGTAGATCACTTCCAAAGTTGAGACCCTTGTTTCAATTTGTAGGACCTTGTGAACCCTCAACAGCAAAAATTATAATCTGATCTGTATGGAACTGTCTTGTAAAGGCCCCCAATTATCTACAAAGGAATAAATATGCGACAACCCTTGTCGACCGCTCGGACGATTTAGCCGCTGTGGGCGTATGTTTCGTTGCCTGGCAACCTATCTTTCATTAAATTATTAATGTTTGGCAGTTATAGGAACAGTTATGAAATCCTAATATTAGCTAATAATATCAATATCTTTGATTTTAATGTTGATAAAATTATATTTATTAATAATTTGATCAAATTATGGATATATGAGGATAAATAGAGATCTTGGTTATCATTATAAAGTGTTTCTTATATAACTTTATACAAATATGTAGAGATATTATCGAATGACATAATCTTAATTCTTATCAATTTCTTACTTATTGGTTTATGATAGGTATCATCTTTCATTCTATCAATGTCATAACTAACTGACAGGTTACTAATTAATATAATCATGTTTTGTTTTGTTTTCTATAAGTATATGTTGTACATTACATTGTTGGCTGATCAATCAATCTATCAATCATGCTTCAGTGACTACTGTCACACATTTAATGTATCACTTGCGGTATTGATTGCATACATGAAAGTGACATCAAGACCCCCCCCAAAAAACAACATTATTCATATTCATCCTCTTGAAACAGAACTATAGTTGATTAATAAAATATATCAGTTATAAAGTACTGATTTTAGTGTCTAAAAGAATATATATCTACGTACTCTGATATCATGAGATTATCTATAACCTATGCTTTCTTTGGTAATCCTTACAATATTAATAATAAGTTTTATTTGTCTATAAATTAAACATGAATATTTATTGGCATTTACTTTTTGTTTTGCATTTAATCCACTTAAAATATGATTACTAAATCTTTGTATTTTATTTTCAGCCCAATCTCAAAGTGCCAGTCTTGATTTCCAGCCATGTGCCGAGTTTCCAGCATTACAATATCTTGATAGTGTGGACCCTGAAAGTCAGTCAGATAGAGCCGGATTAAAAACAGGAGATTTTATATTAGAGGTATAGAAATATAAAATAAATGTATTAAATCACCACCAAGGGTGTCTGGAGTATTGTCTGTCTCTTCAGATTTATTTGTAAACATGTTATAGAGATATTCTTTAAGTGGCATTTAGCGATCAGGGAACAAATTAACAGAACACAGTTTTTATGGGATACAATCACTAGTTTATTCTAAAAGCACGACGTTTCGACAAGTATCCTCTTATCGTTATCAAGCACAAATGACAATTTAGTGTGTGTGAGTTAGTTTTATTTAACGTCCGCTTCCACCGAGGTGATATCGCAGACAAGACAATTTAGTAAACTTGTGGACAATATATATGAAATTAATAAGAAACCATCTGCATGGATTAAGAATAACAGTAATAGAAATAATACAGGTGTAAAGGATATTTAACAATAACAACAAACATAACAAGGTAATTAGCTACTAATAAGCACTGATACTGCATGATTAGAATGTTATGTTTGTTGTTATTGTTAAATATCCTTTACACCTGTATTATTTCTATTACTGTTATTCTTAATCCATGCAGATGGTTTCTTATTAATTTCATATATATTGTCCACAAGTTTACTAAATTGTCATTTGTGCTTGATAACGATAAGAGGATACTTGTCGAAACGTCGTGCTTTTAGAATAAACTAGTGATTGTATCCCATAAAAACTGTGTTCTGTTAATGTTATAGAGAAACTTTGTCAATGTAGAGGGAGGTAGAGTTAGGCTGGCGATCCTACTCCTTGTCATGTACCAACCTGGGATTCAACCCATGACATGCATAGATAACCAGAGTTATGGTCTACATGTACATCAGATTTGAAGTGATTTGCACAATTTTTATACACCCCCCCCCCCCCCACCACCCCAGTTTTTAACAGATTTTTTTTTTTTTAAATTTGGTGTGGAACATTGTGGGCTGGAGAAGATAAACCCTATCGATTTTCAGCATTCTGTGACCATTTTTTTTCAAGTCCTGTGTGCAGCATTGGGATCGGTGATGATGAACCCTGTTGATATTACATGTCTGGAAAAGATTGTGAACATGATAGAGATCAGATTTCTTGAAGGGATCCTTATCAAAATTCACATCTTCATTAGTCCAGATGGAGCAGAAAAGTAGAATGTTTAACCCCATTTCATTTCTTATCAAAAATTGGTCAGTATCAAAGTCTTCCTCTTGGATAGGCTGCTGAGTGCTGACTATGTCATGGTTATCCTTATTTTAGACATACAGTAGAATCTGTATGAGCAGCCACTCCTATTCAGCGACATCTCCTTGTAAGCAGTCACGATAAATTCCCCCCGTAGAAATTCTGTTGTTTCATCTCTTTATTCAACGGTCACTCCTCTAACGCGGCCAGCGGTCACTATTTTACAAATAAATTCAACAAAACATCGCCCATTCAACGGCCATTGTTGAATGATACCATCTTGTCGTTCTTTGTAACAGCCCCGCTAATCCCGTGAGTAGTTAATTAACTGGATCCCCACTGATCAGGTGAAAAGAAATGTAAAAATAACAATCAACCCGGGATTATCTGTTAATTAATCTTTTGTTTTATTAAACGACTAACCTGATCATTGTTTTCACACGTAACGACACATTATTTGATACTGATTGAATAAAATAAAAGTACCGAGTTTTGTCATGATCATCTAGTATCTCTTTATTGTTGAACGGACGTTTTAGCGCCTCCTATAATATTACATACAGAGTTACACCCCCTGTAAATAGTGATAAAACTAGCAATGTTTTTTGTTCATGTGCTTTTTTGATAAAATAAAATGAATTCATCGATTTTCTTCACAAAAATGGATAAATAGTATCGAATGCATCACAATGGTAGACAGTTATATCGAAGGTTGGTACAAAATGACAAGTTTACAGAAGTTATGTCCGAGATTTGAGTAAAGAATTTTCGTCCGGCGCAAGATTCAGCGACGGTCAAATTTACCGCTTCCAATGCATTCAAGCGTAATATTTAACTTATGTCAGCACAAAAAGCACCAAGATTTTATTAAGAGGCCACTCCCGTTATGTTATGTCCGAGATTTGAGTAAAGAATTTTTGTTCGACGCAAGATTCAGCGACGGTCAAATTTACCGCTTCCAATGCATCCAAGCGTAATATTTAATTTATGTCAGCACAAAAAGCAACAAGATTTTATTAAGAGGCCACTCCCGTTAAGCGGTCAGTTGTGAAAATTTCCTTGGGTGGCTGCTTAATGTAGATTCTACTGTAACTGGCTTGTGGGCATATATCTTTGATATACAGAACAGTAATTTGAGCTACTCTTTCAATCATAATCTTGAATTCTCAATAAAATAGATAATAATATCCATGATTCTAAAGGGTTTTTATGTTTTTACTAATTTGTCTGGTACAAAGTAAAAACTGTAAGAGATAATTTATATCCTAGCAACCTGTCTGTTTAAAGTGATTATATAGGTATATGACAGTTAAAACAATAGAGTCTTTATATCTAGGTACATTGTTAGTGTAATGTTAATATAGTGTAAAATGTTTATGGTGATGATTATAATATGACATTGCCATTATCCACCCTTGTCAGACTACTTTGTCTATCAGTCTACTAGTAAATTATTCACCATAACTATATTTTTTATAGGGAAAACAAACAAAAACTGTCACTGATTATAATATTATCAGTACAGATTGTATAAAATGAAAAGTAAAAAGCCAACTATAACCTCAAAACTGAATAAGAAATTTTTAAAAAATGAAATGAAATGGGGGTTTAATTTTCTACTGTTCTGAACCATCTGGGGTATTGAAGAAGGGCATATGTCATACAGTGTGCTATGAGGAAATTTTTGCCCAGACAGCGTCACAACTGAGGACTCTTACTACAAATTCTAATTGTCAAGAATCTTTTACATGCACGCAGTGTGTTCACAGGATCATGGTTTTTCATACCATCTGCTGAAACATAATGTGGTAATATATTAATATTACTTACTATGCAAACATCATTTTATTACGTTACAGTATTTCATCAGAAATATTTTCTTTATTTTTCTAGATCAATGGTGAAAATGTAATTCGAGCTACACATGAACGGGTGGTGCAACTCATTCGTACTTCTAAAGATGCTTTAGTTATGAAAGTTGTTACAGCACGACCAGTAGAGAAAGCATCTGATTGGTTTACACATCAAGATGGTTCTATGACATTACCCAATCGAAAGAAGCAAGGTAAATTATCATAATAGTTATATAGCTAGCCAAATAGTTATAAAGTTAGCTAAATAGTTATATAGTTAGCTAAATAGTTATGTATAACTATAAGAAATATATAGTGTTCTATATGACATATCTTAAATACCAATATGTAGGAATACTAACAATTGGCTTTAATCAAACCCATTATAATTTGTGCTGGTAGATCACTTTTTCTTTTGCTTCAAAATCTACCGCTTCCCTAACTTAAAAGAATTTTATTTATGTATTTCAGCCCCATTACCACCTAAACGTAATCCAGATACATCACTATCATTTAGTAAAGCTACTAGTAAATCTATGGCTGAGGGTCTAGCTGAAATAGGTGAGATTTAATAAATTTCTATTATTAACAAAGTTATAAACTTCTAAACAGATATTAAAAATCAAATTTGTATTTCTGCCAACCACAGATTTATAATCTACACAGATTTCCGGATACCCAATCCAAATGGCCTGGGTGGGGTGAGGTGGTGATCTTTACAAAATAACTACCTAGAAATATTAAGATAGAATTAGAAGGAAAAAGTAAGATAATCAATTTTTGTTAACTGATTTCAAACAACATTTCTGTTGTTCATCTTTTGGTTTAGTACAAATAATATCTCTGAATCACTTTCGTTAGCAGGAACATGATACTAGCAGTAGTTTCATTTTACTTTTACAAGTTTGTTAAAACAATTGTTGAGCTGGTTAACGTGCATGTTTCTAAATTCAATTTCTTGTTCCAGCTTTCTGTTATGTTTCGTAAAAAGGTAGTCTTGATTATCCCGACCTGTCAATCAGACGTAGAATAGTCGGTACACTGGTTAAGCAAGACTAATTTCAAAACAAGGGCACGTAACCTATCTTTTACTCAAAAGTGTCTGGATGTTATGGACGACACTTGGAACCAGTTTCAGTCTATTATTTATAGATGATTAAATGGTCATAGCTTATTAAGTACAACATGATCGTTTATTTAGTGACTATAATTGTGTGAAACTGATTTAAGGCTTGGTATATATATAAATATTGTGGCGTAATTGTCGAGATATTTGGAGATATTTATTTATGGTGGGTCACCCTAATAGGTGTTTATTTCATTTTTGGGTGTTTCATAATTGATTACATAATTTCATACTTCGATATAGATATTTTCCTACATTGATTATACATTTACATTTGGTGTTTGTTAAAATATTTTTATACACCCACATTTTCATGTGGATATATATTGTTGTCGCCCCTGTCCGTCCGGACGTCCACAATTGTTTGTGAACAGTCTACAGGTCACAATTTTTGATCCGATTTCAATGAAACTTGAAATATAGGTTTATCACCCTAAGATATCGCTTGTGAACACTGTAGAGGTCACAATTTTTATCCGATTTGGTTTAAACTTGAAATGTATGCTTATAACCCAAAGATCTTGGTTCCTTTCGATATTCGTGCATATCGGAACGTAACTTCCTGAATTATGGCCCCTGATTGTACAAAAAATCGCGTTTTTAGATTGTGGCCCCTAGAGGTCATAATTTTTATTCGATTTAAAAAAAAGTATTATTATATCACCGTTAAACCCTAAGGATGGCTGAGTTCGAATTTCGTGAAAATCGGCCCAAAACTGACAGACAAAATGGCCGCCGTTCGTTCTCAAATAGCGTAAAAATATGGTATATCAAGGTTGTGGACCCTATAGAGGTCACAATTTTTATCCGATTTTGTTGAAACTTGAAATGTAAGTTTATAACCCAAAGATCTTGGTTCCTTTCGATATTCGTGCATATCGGACCGTAACTTCCTGAATTATGACCCCTGATTTTACGAAAAATCAAGTTTTTAGCGTGTGGACCCTATAGAGGTCATAATTTTTATCCGATTTAAAAAACGTATTATTTTATCACCGTTACACCCTAATAACGGCTGAGTTCGAATTTCGTGAAAATCGGACCAAAACTGACAGACAAAATGGCCACCTGTCGTTCTCAAATAGCGTAAAAATATGGTATATCAAGGTTGTGGACCCTATAGAGGTCATAATTTTTATCCGATTTTGTTGAAACTTGAAATGTAAGTTTATAACCCAAAGATCTCTGTTCCTGTCGATATTTGCGCATATTGAATTGTAATTTCCTGAATTATGGCCCTTGATTGTAAGAAAAATCACTTTCTTTTTAGCTTGTTCTCTATCCATCTCTCGAAAATGTGGGCGTATCCTGCCTGGCAGCCGCTGGTTGAATTTATGTAAAGAAGAAAAGGACCAAAATCTACAATGTAAATTTATATATGCAGGGCAACAGAGTATAAAGTGGTATTCATCTTCAACAGAGTTCCTTGTGCAGCATGTACAAATTCTATTTTCACAATCTTAATTTAATTCTTTACTAATAACTTTTTTTTTATCTTTTTAGAAAAACTGGACCAAGCTTTAGCAGAATTTGATATGACTGGAAATCGTCGCCATTCTTTGTCAATTAATGAAATAAGCAGTGAGAAGAAAACAGCATCTGTTCGTGGATCTCATGCTATAAAGAGAGTGTCATGCGTTGATATTAATCATATTGTTGTTGGTGATCATATTGAACCAGCTGAACCTACGTATGATACACCATCTGTTCAACGATCAAAAGACTATATGAGTCCTGCCGAACTACGAATCAAAAAGTACCACAAAAAACATAATGGGACAATGGAAAGATCGAAAAGTACACCTGATTTGGCCGTGCCTGATGAAGTTGTTTATGCGTCAACAGCAATACCTGGTAGTGGTGTTACTGTATATGATAGATCACCTGTAAACAGATCCCATGCAACCTACCAAAAACCAGGTTCACCTGGTTATTATAGACAAGGTCATATGGCAGACATTAAAAGACCTATGTCACATTTTGATAGTGATCGATTAAAAACGGCCGTTTATGCTGGACCTGTTGTAATTAGAAGTACTGATGATAGCAATCCACCAGATATTCCTGGAAGAGCCCCTGTTGCCAAACGTCAAGCGCCTAACCCACCCACAAAGTCAGAATTAGTCAGCATTAGCACAACCAGAAACAACAATATGTATGCCAATGTTTCAGCAGAAATACAGGCTCGCAAGGAGAAAGAAAAGGAAGAATCACCGTATGAATCTAGTTTCCGACCTGGTACCCTTGCTAGACTCACTAACCAACCTCGTGTTACTACCGCTTCTCTAGAACAGGCTAAACTTAAATCTCATAGAAAAACAAACAGTATGGGAGCAATTAGCATCCAAGCTGATGAAGAAAATGAAAATAAAGCTGGTTCTTCCTCTGATGATAGGGTGTTACAAAATGCAGCCAACTTCATTCAAAAACATCCAAATGCCAAGTTACTTGTGACAGCCGATGTACATCAAAAAAAAGAGAAGACATATTATGAACCAGAGCCGGACTATGATAATGAAAGTGATGATGAAAAATCCTTGTTATCTGCATCTAGTTTACGAGCCCAGACTAACATCAGTCGTCAGTCTAGTGTAACATCTAGTGGCTCTAGAAATACCGAAGATGCTGCAAAACTTTTGGCACTAGAAGTCCAAAAGAGTGTACGTCCAAAATCTACATCAGTAACAGTAATAGCCGTTGGTGATACTTCCACCATTAGAAAGAATTCACCAGTAACTGAACGTCATTATTCCGTTCATTCTGATATACCACCAGCTAAACAAACAGCACCTCAGACACATTCTGATACAACAATGCATGGTGATAGTAAAGTTATTATTCCTTCATATTCAACTGAGTCTTCTAGCTACAGTACATCTCAGTCTAACGTTACTACTATACAAACTAACTATAGTAATCAATCAACAAGATCTACACCAGCCTCTAGTGTTAATAGCTCACGTAGATCTTCTATACAGTCTAATCTAAGTGCTGGTAGAGACAATATATCTACTGATTGTATACCACATCCATATACTACACCACCCCCACAAGCTGCTCCTCCCCCACCTCCACCAGCTCCTCCTGCTCCACCAGCTCCTCCTGCTCCACCACCAATACCTACAACTCTTCCTCCCTCTACATCCTATGAAACCTTAAACCGAAGTCCTGCCAAACCAGAAGCAACAAACCAACCATTGGTATCAGCAAGTGATATTATGAATGCCGTCAAACTTAGACAGAATCGTTTACAAAATGATGCCCCAAGGATGTCACAAACCAAACCCAGTCAAGCATTGCCTGTCAAAAGCAGTCTTGATTTAAATCAAGAAGCTTTGAAGGCTGCAGTAGCTGCAAGGAAAAGTCGACTGTTGCAAACCGAAGAGACAGCCGTGGTTGACCAAATTGAATCCAAACTTCAGAAAACAAAGAAATTACAATCGGCCAAATACTTCTTCTCCAGTGATACCATCAAAAATGAAACTGGAAATACAGAAGAAAAAACAGAAAAGACACCAACTAAATCAGCAACTAAGAAAGCTCCAGCACCAGAGCCACCAGCAGTAAGTGTCAAGCCAAAAAGTCCACAAGTTGTTGGTAAGTCTAAAATCACAGCTATTGGGAGTAGTAAAACAGAGACTGTGAAGGCTCCCACCTCAAAACCTGTTACTACTAGTCAAGGTGATTCTAAACAAGCATCGTCAACATCTAATGATTTCCTAGCAATGGCTGAAAAGGCTAGACAAGAATTCCTGCAAAAGAAGAGTGGTACTACAAAAGGACAATCTGTAACGCCTATTTATAGTTCTAGTGGTATGCAATCAGGGAAGAAAACAGAAAAGAAGATTGAAAGTGAGCAAGATGTAGATAAAGATGATCCTCAGATGTCTATTAAAGATAAAATAGCTAGCTTTGAGAAACAGAAGAAGTTAAATGGCGGTATAAGTAATGGTAATAATATAGAGTTAGATGGTGTTACTGAGGATCATTCACATACAGAAGCTGGTAATACATTAACACGTAACGGTAATAGTACGTATTCATCAGTTGTAGCACCACCACCAGGTTTTACAGATAATCTGGAGATAATACCTCCACCGGTTTCTTTCTCTAATGATGCTAGTGTCGACAGTGGACATGGATCAGATCACTATAACTCAGCCTTCGGGCATGAAGATTCAGCCAGTCTTGTATCATCAGCATCAACATTAAGTACACTATCGAGTGAACATGGAGAACATGTCCAACGCAATACACATTTTGATGATATGTTACCCCCTCCACCCCCAGCCTTTAGTGACAATATCAGTGACTTTGATGACATTCCAAATGATGTGATTCCCCCACCACCCCAATTTTCAAATAGTGCCGACATGAAACCTAATCCGTTGAGACCTTATCAAACTAAAAGTGTGGACACATGGTTATGCACTGATGTACTAGATTGGTTAGACAGTTTAAGTATGGCTCAATACAAAACCAGCTTTGCTAAAAATTGTATTGATGGACCAAAACTTGTAAAGTTAGGTAGAAATGATTATATTGAATTAGGTGTGACACAAGTTGGCCATAGAATGAACTTGGAACGATCTATTAAGAAAGTTGCACTTGGTAAAATCAGTACGGCCATGTAATGTTGGATAGAAATTCATAATGAAAACTTTGTGAACATTTAGATATAATAATGTAACAAGTGTATGTTAATGGATTGTAATCAAGTGATGACTGATCAAACATTCTTCAAATGAAATTACTGTTTGTAAATATAAATCAAAAACAAAAGTGTATATAAAACTACTTATACTACTCAATGATGTTGATTATTTTGGATTTTATCTAGAAGTGATGTAAACTGTAGTGTCATTGCAAGTACAGTACATTAAAACTAAACTGGCAATTATAAATTATATTGTGAAAAAGGAAAAACCTATTTAGGTGGGGGTTTTTTCCTAAAGTTATTCTTTATATGTGTGCATGTTCTCTACTCTGCCCTGAACGTTTTGGGACCTGCACTCATTAGAAAAACTTTGTGCCCAAAGTTAAACTGGATGTTCCCACTGTAAATCACTGATTTGTGTCGTTTTGGTCATCCTGATTTTTTTGGAAAAAAGTTTTGTATGATTTCTTGATCTGGTTTATGATTATTAGCCGAGTTTGCCAAAGTACTATTTTCGTACACTTAACATTTCTTGAACACATTTCAAACTTTCTTTTTACTGAATGTAAATACTGTTAGAAAAGGTTATATTTACTAATCTATTTTGTGCACTTTAACTACATTAAGTTGAAAGTCAAATTGTTTTGTTAATAATTAAACTGTATATATTACAATGTTTATATTATTGTTTAAATATTATAAAGGTCTACATTCCTGTATACTCAAAACACATTCGTTTTACTATGTAGTATATTTTTCACACGTTATAAGATGATATGTTTGATATTATGGAAGAGAATAATCTGAAATAAGAAACTTTTTCTTCCCTATTTTATTTGTGATGATGATTGGGACATTCCATGGTAAAGTAGAGATTGTTATTCCAGCATTACTATAAGCTTGTGTATGGTGTATATATACAAGTTAGTGCTATATTATTACTTTGTATATTGTGTATTTTTTAGAAATGTTATATTTTATTATGTTGATCTGCAATACATATGAAATTTAATATTGATGCAAAGCAATTATTAAATTTTATTTTTGTTTTATTTTAAAATCAAATTTGCTATAATTTATGCACAATTTTCCTATAAAAGTAGTAGTTAAGTATTTTCATTTTATGAACATTCCAAAATCCTGATTGACTAAATATTGCAACAGTAGAATTTTTATACGCCCACATTTTCATGTGGACGTATATTGTCGTCGCCCCAGTCCGTCCGTCCAGAATTTGTTTGTGGACTCTCTACAGGTCACAATTCTTGTCCGATTTTGATGAAACTTGAAATATAGGTTTATCCCTTAAGATCTCAGCTGCTTTCGATATTTGCATGTATCGGATCGAAACTTCATGGATTATGGCCCCTGTTTGTACAAAAATTCATGTTTTTAGCTTGTGGACACTACAGAGGTCACAATTTTTATCCAATTTTGTTGAAACTTGAAATGTAAGTTTATAACCCAAAGATCTCAGTTCCTTTCGATATTCGTGCATATCAGACCGTAACTTCCTGAATTATGGCCCCTGATTGTACGAAAAAATCATGTTTTTAGCTTGTGGACCCTATAAAGGTCATAATTTTTATTCGATTTAAAAAACCATATTATTATATCACCGTTACACCCTAAGGAAGGTTGAGTTCAAATTTCGTGAAAATCGAATAAAAATTGCCAGACAAAATGGCCGCCATTTGTACGCGAATAGTGTAAAAATATGGTAAATCAAGGTTGTGGACCCAGTATAGGTCACAATTTTAATTTGATTTGGATGAAACTTGAAATGTATGTTTATAACCTAAAGATCATGGTTCCTTTCGATATTTGCGCATATCGGATAGTAACTTCCTGAATTATGGCCCCATATTATACGAAAAATCGCGTTTTTAGCTTGTGGACCTTATATAGGTCATAATTTTTATCCGATTTAAAAAAACGTATTATTATATATCACCGTTACACCCTAAGGATGGTTAAGTTCGAATTTGGGGGAAATCGGACCAAAATTGCCGTACAAAATGGCAGCCGTGTGTACACGAATAGTAAAATAGGGTAAATCAAGGTTGTGGACCCTGTATGGGTCACAATTTTAATCCGATTTTGATGAAACTCGAAATGCATTTTTATAACCCAAAGATCTTGGTTCCTTTCGATATTTGCGCATATCGAATTGTAACTTCATGAATTATGGCCCTTGATTGTAGGAAAAATAACTTTCTTTTTAGCTTGTTCTCTATCCATCTCTCAAAAATGTGGGCGTATCCTGCCTAGCAGCCGATGGTTTACATTTCTATTAATTTTAGGATAATTGATTCAACTGTTTTGATTATGCCACATTTCCTTTAAATCTTTTCTATAATGATAAATGTTTCAAAAATTAAATGGTAACAATGTATGGAAGGATAACGTTGCCAATATTATTTCAATGTTCATGGTGAAAATACATCTGTCAGCAATTCAAAATACGTATTTTAGTTTTACAATTTCCAATTTCCAATGCTCCACAATACCAATGTTACAGTGTTAAAATACAGAATACACTTTTCAATAATACTAAATACAGTATAATAATTATTCTGCACATTACACTTCTCCATTCTGCATTTTGCATAATAGACAAATGCATAATGGAACTTAGCATATTAGAACATATACTTTATATGGGATCTACGACGAAGCTCATTTGCATACGAAAAAAAATGTGGGCTAGTACAGAAATTAATAATTTACGCTATCAATCTACAAGGTCAAGATCAGTAGAAGGTGGCGCTACTCATATTTACCGACCTTCGGAAAACGATCAATGAAATAAAATGAAATGGGGTTTATTGTCCTACTTTTCTGCTCTGACTGGGCTAATGAAAACTATGGCCTACTCTTATATCGAATTCCAACAGCCAAGGGATCTTTTACGTGCATGACAATGTATACACGGGAATTCGGTTTTTCGTAACATCCGACCTAGTGAATTCCTTATTGCATACTAGCTTGATTTCCTCTTATTGCATGGTAAGCCGATTTATTGTATGGTGACTTATTGAATGCCAGCTTGATCTCTGCCCATTGACCTTGTAGATCGATCGGGTAAATTATTAATTTCCGTCCTAGTCTGGACATCACTCAGTTTGCAATTGAGCTTTGACGAAGATCCCATATAAGGTATATGTTCTACTATGCTAAGTTCTATTATGCATTTGTCTATTATGCAGAACGGAGAAGTGTAATGTGCAAAATAATTATTATACTGTATTTTGTATTTTAACACTGTGACAATAGTATTGTGGGGGAATGCAAATTACAATTTGTAAAACTAAAATACCTATTTTGAACTGCTGACATATGCAGTTTGTACAGTGAACATTGAAATAATATTGGCAACGTTATCCTTCCATAACAATGAACCATACTTCTTGCAAAGCACACCATACATTCTGCCTTTCTTCTTTTGTTGTCAGATCTAGTCATTGTAAGATAAACAAATCATTAATACTAATTGTTTTAAAGACTAGCCCATTCTAGTGTCTTTTATTGAATTCTTTTTTTTTTAAAAACAATTTTATTTTATTCTTCCTTAAAAATATTTTAAAATATGATTTTTTTTTTATATTGGCCAAAAACTATTGTACTGGGAAGTTAAAAATAATTTGGGCATTTAATTACAACAAAAACATGCACCATTGAGTAATTGTATAAGTCATTAAAGCTTGCCAGAATTATAATAAATATATAATTTAATTTAATGTGTAAATAATTCAAAATAAAGTGGAATTATTGTTTATATAAATGAATTCTATAAAAGAAATTATTTTAGTTTCTTGCCATAAAGAATGTGATTAAAGGTATGTAAATGGTTATAGAGGATATTAATTAAAGCTGTATAAGTTTTAATGTGTACATATATTATTTATTTCATATCTTTCACAAATGTTAATAAGCTATTGAAGAATGATGTATAAATCGAGCAAAGAATGTCCAATAAAAAAAATTCTTCCAGCTAAGTTTATATTATTCTATTAGTGACTGATATCTGCTCACAAACTGGTCCTGTAGTAATCAACCATTCCAATTACTGGTAGGAATGACAAGCACACCCTCACAATACGGAATAGAAATACGGCCACACAGCAACTATGTCTCGAAAAGAAGATAACCATATAGAGTCATATAGGGCAGTACATCCAAAAGGAAACTTGGGTGTGGACATAAGTTGACATGGATGTCTTCAAGAAATCTGATCTCTATCGTGTTCTCAAGTTTATCCTCGACACATATCTCTGAAACAGAAAGTCCTAGAATATGCTGAAAATCATATAGGGTTTAATCCTCTGTCCTAGTTCTTCGCACCAAATTTGAACAAGTCAACAGTGAATCTGATGTCCCCCACACCAATTCCCAAATAAATAGATGGCAATGTTAATTATTTGCACACTTATCTTCAAGCAATGAGGGGGTTGGGTGGCCGAATGGTTAGCATGCGCGCGCTGTATCATACGGTCTGTCATTGAGTTAACTGGTTGTACATCCCGATTGTACATGACAAGGAGTAGGGTCGCCTGTCCAACCTCGTGGGTTTTCTCCGGGTCCTCCGGTTTCCTCCCACTGCTAAAGACCCCTACGTGCATGGGAATTATTGAAATAAAATTGAACCATGTGTTAGTCCCGAAATGACCTAGTTTGTGTCGAGTGGACGTTCAATCCCATTTCTCTCTCTATTTCATGCAATGAAACTGCTTATCTTTACAATTATTGGGTTCACATACACACATTGAATAGAAGTCCTGTCTCATATCCACTAAAAACCAGCGGCTGCCAGGCAGGATACGCCCACATTTTCCAAGAGATGGATAGAGAACAAGCTAAAAAAAAAGCGATTTTTCGAAAAATCAAGGGCCATAATTCAGTAAGTTACGATCCGATATGCGCGAATATCGACAGGAGCCAAGATCTTTGGGTTATAAAGATATATTTCAAATTTCATCAAAATTGTGACTTCTAGAGGGTCCACAACCTTGATATACCATATATTTACACTATTTGCGTACAAGGGGTAGCCATGTCCTCCGGCAGTTTTGGTTTGATTTTCACGAATTTCAAACTCAACCATCATAAGGATGTAACGGTCATATCCTAATTACGCGATTTATCGTACAATCAAGGGCCATAATTCAGGAGATCCGATATGTACAAATATCAAAAGGAACCAAGATCTTTGGGTTATAAACATGCATTTCAAGTTTCACCAAAATCGGATAGAAATTGTGACCTCTACAGGGACCACAAGCTAAAAACGCGACTTTTCGTACAATCAGGAGTCATATTAATTCAAGAAGTTACAATCCGATATGCACGAATATCCAAAGGAATCAGGATCATTGGAATATAAACATGCATTCCAACTTTCATCAAAATCGGATCACAGTTGTGAGCTCTAGAGGGTGATCCACAACCTTGATATACCAGATGTTTACACTATTAATTTTGCATACGTTGGGGTGGGGTGGGGCATTTTGTCTGTCAGTTTTGGTCCGATTTTCATGAAATTCGAACTCAAACAACAATACAGTGATATATTCGAACGTTTTTTTTTTTGAAACAGATAGTAATTGTGACCTCTAGTCGATGGACCACACGCTAAAAACGCGATTTTTCGTACAATCAGGGGCCATAATTCAGGAAGTTACTATCCTAGATGCGCGAATATCGAAAGGAACCAAGATCGTAGGGTTATAAACATGCATTTCAAGTTTCATCAAAGTCAGGTGAAAATTGTGACCTCTAGGAGAGTCCACAACCTTGATATACCATATTTTGATACTATTAGCATACGAGGGGCGGCCATTTTGTCCGTCAGTTTTGGTCCGATTTTCACGAAATTCGAACTCAACCATCATTACGGTGTAACGGTGATATATTCACATGTTGGTTTTTTTTAATCGGATAATAATTGTGACCTCTAGAGGGACAACACGCTAAAAACGCAATTTCTCTTACAATCAGGAAGTTACTATCCGATAGGCCCTATATATAAGATAAGATAAGATTTTATTGTATCAAGACATCCATTAAGGACAGCATACAATATGAACATGTATATAAAGATATAGTATAACAGATAATAGATATATACATGTATTTACAAACAAGACAAATGATAATTTTACATAATTACACATTTACTAACAGGACAAACAGTATGATAATCATCTCAGAATACATATTTACCACAAACTGGTCTGATAATGACACGACTTTCAACACAAGCATGATGGATGTGTATAAATATAATAAATACATAAATAACAGAAAGACTTAGTATAGGTTTTGACATGGAAATATGATATAGGAATGCTAGAAGCATCACATGAATCGATTAATAAAACGTGGAATAAAATATATCAATACATGGAAATCTAGATAATAATTTTGATACAGAAAGGTATATGTAGTGATACTATATGTCCGATTATCGAAAGGAACCAAGATCTTTAGGTTATAAACATGTATTTCAAGTTTTATCACCTTGATATACCATATTTTTACACTGTTTGCGTACGAGGGACGGCCATTTTGTGCGGCCGTTATTTGTTCCGATTTTTCGTACAATCGGGGGCCATAATATCAACTAAAAACCAGCGGCTGCCAGGCAGGATACGCCCACATTTTCCAAGAGATGGATAGAGAACAAGCTAAACAAAAAGCGATTTTTCGAAAAATCAAGGGCCATAATTCAGGAAGTTAAGATCCGATATGCGCGAATATCGACAGGAGCCAAGATCTTTGGGTTATAAAGATATATTTCAAATTTCATCAAAATTGTGACTTCTAGAGGGTCCACAACCTTGATATACCATATATTTACACTATTTGCGTACGAGGGGTAGCCATGTCTTCCGGCAGTTTTGGTCCGATTTTCACGAATTTCAAACTCAACCATCATAAGGATGTAACGGTCATAATACCATATTTTTACACTGTTTGCGTACGAGGGACGGCCATTTTGTGCGGCCGTTTTGTTCCGATTTTTCGTACAATCGGGGGCCATAATTCAGGAAGTTACTATCCGATATGCGCGAATATCGACAGGAGCCAAGATCTTTGGGTTATAAACGTACATTTCAAGTTTCATCAAAATCAGAAGAAAATTGTGACCTCTAGTCCACAACAGTCATATACCATATTTTTTACGCTATTTGAGTACGAGGGGCGGCCATTTTGTCTGTCAGTTTTGATCCGATTGTTACAAAATTCGAACTCAACCATCCTTAGGGTGTAACGGTGATATATTCAAACGGTTTTTAAATCCGATCAAAATGATGACCGCTATAGGGTCCACAAGCTAAAAATGTGATTTTTCGTACAATCAGAGGCCATAATTCAGGACGTTACAGTCCGATATGCGCGAATATCGAAAGAAACCGAGATCTGTGGGTTATAAACTTACATTTCAAGTTTCAACAAAGTCAGATAAAAATTGTGACCTCTATAGGGTCCACAAGCTAAAAACGCGATTTTTCGTACAATCAGGGCCCATAATCCATGAATTAACGGTCCGATACATGCCAATATCGAAAGGAACCGAGATCTTAGGGAGATAAAGCTATATTTCAAGTTTTGTTGAAATCGGATAAAAATTGTGACCTGTAAAGTGTCCACAAACAATTGTAGACGGACGGACAGGGGCGACGACAATATACGTCCACATGAAAATGTGAACGTATAGTATAAAAATTGGACGTGGCTCTGCCCCTGGCGGTCGGGATATGCAGTTGTCGTCCTAGGCTATAAGGAATACATATCCCAAGTTCAAAGACGATCCATTAAGAATCGTGGCCTGTAGGCAACACACAGAGACACAAAGAAAAATGGATGTGGCTCTACCCTTGGGGCAACAGGGGTCATCTTTAGGGTATAAGGAATAAGTATGCATGCAAAGTTTCAAAAAGGATCTGTTAAGAATTGCGGCCTGTAGGCGAAACACAAGACACACAAACATTAGGCGGGAGGTCGGGCATGCACAAAAAATAATAGAGGTCAGCCTTAGGGTATAAGGAATAAGTATTAAAAAAAGTTTTCAGGATGATCGATTAAGAATGAGGGCTGTAAGTGACACACAAAAAGAAAATGGGCGTGGCTCTGCCCACAAACAATAGGGATGTTCCTTAGGATAGAAGGAATAAGTATGCAAAGTTTCAAGGTGATGCGTTAAGAAATGCGGTCTGTAGATAAATACAAGAAATGGGCGTGGCTCTGCTACTGGGGGAAAGGCATGCATGAAAAACAATAGGGAACATTCTTAGGGTATAAGGAATTCATATGAAAATTTTTCAAAACCACCCTGGCCTGTAGGCGACACACATACACACAAAAAGAAAATGGGTGTGGCTCTGCCCCTGGGGGTTGGGCATGCACCCTAGACTATAGGGATGTTCCTTAGGGTACAAAGAATAAGTATGCAAAGTTTCAAGATGATACGTCACGAAATGGGGCCTGCAGACGACAAACAAACACAAGAAATGGGCGTGGCTCTGCCCCTGGTGGTCGGGCATGCACCAAAAACAAAAGGGATCATCCTTGCGGTATAAGGAATAATTATGTAAATTATGTAAAGGTGATCACTTAAGAATTGTGGCCTGTAGGCGACACACAGACAGGGGCGACGGCAATAGAGACTTTTGGTAAGCGTAAATTCGCGTATCCGTGTGGATTTTGCATGTGACGTCATCAATGTGGGTGTATTTCTGATACGGCACACGGATACGACAGTCCCTATCGTACAGCTTTCATACGAAAAAGGTCCGTATAACATTGTTGTGTCTTTTTACCGTCTTTTTTTCTACTTTTAGACGCTGAAATGTTGTATCATAGCGTTTTTATGAATCTATGTGTATCCAAGAACACGAAGGTGTATATTTGATGTGATTTCAATCATGATAAATACTGGAATATAATCATTATTTTTTAGGTGTTTTTCTCAGAATTTTCATAATTTTCCT